CTACGTACAGACTTTCTGGGTGTTTCTGTAACGGGGACAGCTTGAGGCTCTGTCTCAAAAAAAAAAAAAAAAAAAAATACACAAGGGCTCCAATTTCTCCAAATCTTTGCCATCATGCTATTTTCTGTTTTTGTTTTTTTTTAGACAGTCTCACTATGCTATGTCGCCCTCAGTAGAGTACTGTGGTGTCACAGCTCGCAGCAACCTCCAACTCTTGGGCTCAAGTGATTCTCTTGCCTCAGCCTCCTAAGTAGCTGGGACTATAGGCATCTGCCACAGCACCCAGCTATTTTTTTGTTGCAGTTGTCAGAGTCTCAAGCTGTTGCCCTGGGTAGAGTGCTATGGCATCTTTATAACTCACAGCAAACTCCAAGTCCTGGGCTCAAACAATCCTCTTGCTTCAGCCTTTTCTTATAAATCCAGGAAATTCTTTCTTAAATTTTGTTTTTTTTTTGGAGACAGAGTCTCATTTTATTGTCCTTGGTAGAGTGCTGTGGTGTCACAGCTCACAGCAACCTCCGACTCTTGGGCTTAGGTGATTCTCTTACCTCAGCCTCCGGAGTAGCTGGGACTACAGGCGCTCATCACAACAACTGGCTATTTTTTTGTTGCACTTTGGCTGGGGCCGGGTTTGAACCCGCCACCCTCAGTATACGGGGCCGGTGCCCTACTCACTGAGCCACAGGCACCGCCCCAGTTGTTACTCTTGTTTAGCTGGCCTGGGGTCGGGTTCAAACCTGCCAGCCTGGGTGCAGGTGACTGGTGCCACAAGCACTGTGCTATGGGCGCCAACTTTATTTTCTGGTTTTTAACTTATATATTTAATTTACTTTTCCTAATGACTGGTGATACTGAGTATCTTCTTGTGTGCTTACTGGGTATCTATATGCTGTATCTTCTTTGGAGAAATGTTTATTAAAGTTCTTAGTCCATTTAGAAAATATTGTAATATTTTTCAGTTTCTTTTTATGCTCTTGTTATTATTTAAATTTTTTTTTTGAGACAGAGTCTCACTTTGTCACCCTGAGTAGAGTGCCATGGCATCATAGCTCACAGCAACCTCAAACTCTTGGGCTTAAGCAATCCTCTTGCCTCAGACTGTGCAGCAGCTGGGACTATAGGCGCCTGTCACAACACTTGGCTAGTTTTTCTATTTTTAGTAGAGATGGGGTCGGGGTCTTGCTCTTGCTTTGGCGGTCTCAAACTCCTGAGCTCAAGCAATCCAATTGCCTCAGACTCCTGGACTGCTAAGATTACAGGCATGAGCCATCACATTCAGCTATTATTTGAAATTGACATTTAATTGTACATATTTATGGGGTACAGTGCAACATTTTGATACATGCCTACGATGTGTAATAATCCAATCAGGGTAATTAGCATATCATATCACCTCAAACATTTATCATTTCTTTGTGTTCGGAACTTTCAAAATTTGCTCCTCTAGCTATTTGAAAATACACAGTAGGCTCAGCACCTGTAGCTCAGTGGCTAGGGAGCCAGCCACATACACTGGGGCTGGCGGGTTTGAACCCAGCCTGGACCTGCTAAACAACAATAACAACAACAAAAATAGCCAAGCGTTGTGGTGGGTGCCTATAGTCCCAGCTACTCGGGAGGCTGAGGTAAGAGAACTGCTTGAGCCCAAGAGTTTGAGGTTGCTGTGAGCTGTGATGCCAGAGCACTCTACTGAGGATGATATAGTAAGACTATCTCAAAAACAAAAAAAACCAAAAAAACAACCCAAAATGGCTTGGCGCCTGTAGCTCAGTGGCTAGGGCACCAGCCACACATACAAGAGCTGGTGGGTTCGAATCTAGCCTGGGCCTGCCAAACAACAATGACAACTACAACCAAAAAATAGTCAGGCGATGTGGAGGGTGCCTGTGGTCCCAGCTACTTGGGAGGCTGAGGTAAGAGAATTGCTTAAGCCCAAGAGTTTGAGGTTGCTGTGAGCTGTGACATCACTGCACTCTACTGAGGGCAACATATTGAGACTGTCTCAAAAAAAACAAACAAAAAAGAAATTTATTAAAGATAAAGTATAGAAACCTTAGTACACTCTTAAAAGATAGTCCACAGTAAATCATTTTTATAGTCACCATACAGTGTTGTAGAATACTAGAACTTAATCCTCCTATCTAGCTGTATTTTTGTATTCATTAACAAACCTTTCCAGCTCAGCGCCTGTGGCTCAAGCGGCTAAGGCGCCAGCCACATACCCCTAAGGTGGTGGGTTCGAATCCAGCCCGGACCCGCCAAAGAATAATGGCTGCAACCAAAAAATAGCCAGGCGCTGTGGTGGGCGCCTGTGGTCACAGCTACTTGGGAGGCCCTGGCAGGAGACTCGCGTGAGCCTGGGAATTGGAGGTTGCTGTGAGCAGTGAAGCTAGGGCACTCTACCCAGGGTGACAGCTTGAGGCTCTGTCTCAAAAAAAAAAAAAACAAAAAAAAAACCAAACCTTTCCTTTGCTCACTTTTAAACTGATTTTGTTGATGAGTTTCAGGAATTCTCTGTGTATTATGGATATGGATACTTTATCAGATGCATGAACAAAAGCTTTATCTTCCTAAATCCAATTTGTCTCCTTTTTCTTTTCTTGCCTGTGCCTTTGGTGTCATATCCAAGAAGTCATTGGTATTCAGTATGACCTGAAACTTAAAATCATTCCAATGTTGTGAAGCTTTTGCCTTTTTTTTTTTTTTTTTTGGAGAGACAGTCTCACTCTGTTGCCCTGGGTAAAGTGCCATGGTAGAGATCCCTCAAATTCTAGGGCTCAAGTGATCCTCCTGCCTTAGCCTCCTGAGTACCTTGGACTATAGGCACTCACCACAATACTTGGCTATGCCCTATGCTTTCTTCTAAGAATTTTATAGTTTTAGGTTTTACATTTAGGCCTTTGATCCATTTTGAATTAATTTTTGTATATGGTGTCAGGTAAAGATCCAATATTATTCTTTTGCAAGTGGATATCAGTTTTTCTCTGCACAACTTTAATAAAGAATGCCCTTCTATATCCTTTTAATTTAAAAATTTTCTAAGTATATTATCTATTTGCCAAAAAAAAAAAAAAAAAATCCCGAAGTAAAAAATAAAAACTTCAACAAAACTATACATTTGAGGGGCGGCACCTGTGCCTCAAAGGAGTAGGGCACTGGCCCCATATGCCGAAGGTGGCAGGTTCAAACCTAGCCTTGGCCAAAAACTGCAAAACAACGACAACAACAAAAAAACTATACATTTGAAATTCTTAAAGAGTGTCTGGGGCAGCTCCTGTAGCTCAGTG